GCATCGGGCTCTGTGCGGACAGCTTGGAGCCTGGAGCCTGCTTCAGATTCTGTGTCTCCCTCTTGCTCTCTGACCCTGCCCTGCTCTGTCTGTCTGTCTCTCTCTCAAAAATAAATAAGCATTAAAAAAAAAAAATAGAAAGTCAGCTCCACCAAAGAATATCCTCGATGAAAAAAGTATTGAATTCCGATCCTTGGGTACGTGACTTTTAAATATTGTGCAATGAGATGCAAAGCGTGCATAACACTTTTCTGCGTACACCCCAAATATGAGGGCTGTTTTGGGAAAACCACTTGTACAGTTATTTGAGATGCAAGCTGAACTAGAAGTTTATTTTCTTTTTTTCTTATGATTTTTTTAATGTTTATTTATTTTTAAAAGAGAGAGACAGAGCATGAGCAGGGGAGGGACAGAGAAAGAGGAAGATGCAGAATCCAAAGCAGGCTCTAGGCTCCAGGCTGTCAGCACAGAGCCTGACATGGGGCTCAAACTCATGAACTGCGAGATCATGACCTGAGCCAAAGTAGGACGCTTAACCGACTGAGCTACCCAGGCGCCCCATGAACTAGTTTATTTTCAAAGAACATCATTTTTACTTGAAGGGATGGCTGACAGATAAATTATGGTTATTCAGACGGGTGTTTGGCAGGTATTTTTTCAAAAAGCAATGAAGTGAGTCCATCACTTCAAGAAACAACTGACAGATTTCTCCCCCCAATCATAAGAATCAAGTTTTTAAACAAATATTAGCATTTTGGAAAATCTGCACCTGCCAAAACAAGTTTTAGGAAACACATGAGCTTGACAGCTTCCCAATACTTGAAGGACTTTCTGATGAGATCAGACATATAAACAAATGTGATGTATCTGGCAGCATATAATGAAATATACCAATATTTGGAAGAGCTACGTAACTCAGTGAAATAATACTTTCCTAATGCCAGTGCATAATGTTACAAAATCATGCATGGTTAAAGATGTGTTGAAAGTACAAGACAGACCATTAGATGTTAATGTTAACAAAATGGGAAAAAGCCATATTGATACGGCTTCAGATTCCACATAGCAACTAACCTGTAAGATACTACCAGTTCCAACTTGCAATAGTATTAATACTTACAATTACCTGAAAAGGCTGTTAAAATATTTCTCCTTTCCAAATGCACATGCACACAAGGCTTTTTCTTCAAACATGCCAGACTAGCATCTAAATGTCACAATGCCTTTACAGATTGAATGCAGGGTCTGGTAGGAGAACCCAGCAGTCTTCTATGAAGCCAGACATTGAAGATTTCTGTAGTCTTTAGAGATTAAAAAGTATCACTGTTCTCACTATATTTGTTTTGGAAAATAGTTGTCATAAACATGTAATTTATGTTATGATGTCATGAAGTTATTTTAAAATGAAGAAAATAGTTTTGTTTTAGTTTCTAGTATGATAAATATTGACAGCTATAACTCAGAAAAAAAAAAGTTCTTTTGGGTTCCTAGATGATTTTTTTTTTTGATGTTTACTTTTGAAGGAGAGAGAGATAGAGCATAAGTGGGGGAAGGGCAGAGAGAGAGGGAGACACAGATCCCGAAGCAGGCTTCAAGCTCTGAGCTGCCAGCACAGAGCCCGACGTGGGGCTTGAACCCACGAACTGTTAGATCATGACCTGAGCCCAAGTTGGGCACTTAACCAATCGAGCCACCCAGGTTCCCCAATGATTCTTAAGTGTAAAAATATTCTAAAACCAAAACCTTTCGGGGTCACTGCCTAGGCTAACCTTTCATCCAGGCTGAACTCTCAATTACCATTTCCTTAATCCTTGCCAACCAGTTTACCAGCATCCAGGACTAGCTTCAGGAGGATGTGGTGTGGGCAGCCTCCTGGCAGGTGATTTCAATCATGCAGTTACCATTCTCCTCCTCCCTAAATACCTTCTCTATGCCCTCTCCCCAGGACCTCAATTTCTCTCATTGGTATTTTTTTTAAAGTTTATTTACTTATTTATAGAGAGAGAACAGGGGAGGGGCAGAGAGAGGGAAGGGGCACAGAATCCCAACCAGACCCTACATTGTCAGCGCAGAGCCCGAAGAGCGGCCTGACCCAATGAACAATGACATCATGACCTGAGCTGAAGTCAGGAGTCAGATGCTTAACTGACTGAGCCCCCAGGTGCTCCTCATTGGTATTCTTCTGATGTAAGTCATTTGAACTTTTCTCTTGAAATCCAAATATTTTTAAGTGGTAATGTGTTGCTAGTTACCGATCATTAATGCATAAAAATAGTAGTGTTGGCCAAACTTTTGAGTGTTGGCTATGTCAAGCTTTCAGCTAAATGTTTTTCATGTGTTATCTCACTGACTCTTATGAAGAATAAGCGTTCATCATATTCTATATTTTAATGAAGAAAATTAGAGTTTGGTTTTATTATGTTAGTCAGCGAGGTCTGGAGGACAAAATCACACCTGCTGTAGGACATAAGGTACCACACAGGCACGTGCTACCAGGAGAAACTGGTAAAGTCTGAAGCCTAGGTCTAGTGTCCCAGATGGCTTCCTGTAGGCACCTATCTGCCCAAGGAGGGGGCGGGCATAAAAAAGTAAGGGGAGGAGATTGAGCCTTTACTACTGGGCTGTTTTAGCCCTGACCCTGGTGGACTTGGTCTCCCTGTTATGCTCTACAAAACACCTCGCTCCCTCCTTGGCTCATTCTGAAATCTTACAGCCCCTTTCCACTCCCCATGTGTACCTAAGTATCAGAACTTAGGGGTGCCTGGGTGGCTCAGTCAGTTAAGTGTCTGACTTCAGCTCAGGTCATGATCTCAAGGTTCACGGGTTCAAGCCCTGTGTTGGGCTCTGTGCTGACAGTGAGGAGCCTGCTTCACATTCTGTTTCCTTCTCTCTCTATCCCCCACAAACCTCTCGCCCGGCTCATGCTCTTTCTAAAAAAAATAAATCAACATCTTAAAATTTTTTTCAAAAAGTCATAAAAGATTAACATTAAAAAAATAAATTTATTTCAAGTCTGAAACACTGGGGAACAAGCATACAGACAAATAGTACACAAACGCAAAAATTCAAACATGAAAGATGACTTCATACAGACAGAAATTCTTCTGGCAATACTCTGAGTTTACATATAAACATATTTGTAAAGACATTTCTCCAACGTTCACAAAAGGCAAAAGCTAGTATTTTGTTTTGCAAAATTTATAAATGCAACAGCTTTTGAAAGTATCCAATTTCTTTCTAAAATTATTTCATTAAAATTTACACAGTGATGGCTACCCAACTCTATTTTCCAAATATTAGACATAGATTTATATGACATTCTTGTTTCACATAATATAGGCAATTTTAACTCAAAATACAGAAAATTTATCAATTCATTTTGCGTTTTGTCACATCATATTTCATCTGCTTTCTAATCAACAAAGAAAGATACACATGACATATATGCCTATGCTTTTTGGAAATAAAGTATTCTCACTTTTATCTGTAATTTTTTTTCAAAAGCTCGGGAATTCAACAAGTACATGATTATTTTAAACAACACTGATAGTTAAAAAATAAAAATAATTATTTAGGAGGGATCTTGGGATATATTTTTGGCTATAAAACCTATGATGTAAATATCTAGGAAAGTTAATGATTCAGCATATTCTGCCTTAGCTATCACCAACTGAATAAAAAAGCTAAAAAAAAGATTTTAAATCCCCCGTAGCCACAAAGTAACAATCATAGCTGTTTATCCAATTCTCTAGGGGATTTTTCTCTAGCTAGATTTAAGTTCCTGTGGTGCAATGATACGGTCTACCTCGTGATGAATGGCATTTAAGATTCAAAAGGTCTTCGAAATCAAAGTGAACTCATTCATTATATGGATAAGGAAAATGCTGCCTGGAGAGTGACAGGGACAACTAGAAACAGTTCCAGGTCACAGACCCAGAGCTCCTGATTCCCAGCTATGTTCTCCTGGTGACACATTCTTCAGGATAAGCTTCTACATCATTTACTGTTGTTTGATTACAGAGAATGTTATAATAGCAATATAAAGCAATGCATATAATCTGCCCAAATCAGAACTGCTAGTTCACTTCAAGGGTATTCAAGGGTATACCTGATTGGCTTTTCTTTTTTCCTTTTTTTGGTTTATGTGGACAATAATGTAAATATTATGGCTGTTTAGATGTCAGTATTCTAAAGATATTCCCTATGAGCTTAGAGAGTCAGGACATGAACAACATATAAATTCTCACTGTAAACAAAACGCAGTGGTAGGCACTGTAGAAACACATTTGGTCCTATCCTCCTTACCCTGAGCATGTAGAAGAGTGTGTACACTCAGGTGAGGAAAAGAATACACTCCCACAGCACACTGCAGGAGCACATACCTGGGCACAGTGTTCCTCAAAGGAGAATGGTCATACAGATGCTAGTAGAGAATTAGAGCATTTTAAGAGGTCTTCACTAAATGAGAACTCCTAGGCTGTTTCCATAGATTTCTTTGCAACCTTCAAGCAAAAGTGTTAGCGGTGATACAAGAAATCATGAAAAAGCCAGGAACACGCAGGATGATATTTTCTTACTACAAAGGTATATATACTGGCATACCTCAATTTATTGTGCTTCCACTTACTGCACTTCACAGATATTGTGGGGTTTGTGTTTTTTTTTTCCAGCAAATTTAAGGTCTGGGGCAACCCTGCATCAAGCAAGTGTACTGGTGCCATTTTTTCCAAAAGCATTTGCTCATTTCACGTCTCTATGTCACATTTTGTAATTCTTGCAATATTTCAACCTTTTTCATTATTATTGTATTTGTTACGGTGACCTATGATTGGTGAACCTATGATTTGCTGAATACTCAGTTCATGTTGATGTTTAGCATTTTTTAGCAATAAGTCTTTTTTCACTGAAGGTATGTCCATTGTTCCTTCAGTCTATTGCATACTTACAGGACTACAGAATAAGGTAAACATGACTTTTATATGTATTGGGAAACCAAAGAATTCATTTGAATCACTTTATTGTGATATTTGCTTCACTCTGAATGGTATGGAGCCAAAGCTACAGTGTCTCCAAGATAAGCCTGTGTTGAAAAAAGAGTAGACAAGGCAGTGGGTACAAAATTATGCTGTCAAGTTAAAGTGAGAAAACAGTATTAGCATTTATGCCACGATAGGAAGGCAGTGCAGAGAACTCAAGATAATGAGTCTGTGTTTGGGCACCTTAGCATGAGAACTCAAGTCTAAGACCAAAGTCATGGGTTCAACCTGTTCACAGAATAGTCATGATGGCCACTGACAGTACATATTACAAAGCACTGTTTAACAAAAATATAAGAAATGGGAAAAATCTTAGAGGTTCCGTGCAAGTGTCATCCCAGTGCTGTCCTTTGGTGGGTCAGAAGTGTAGTGTTGGTGTAATGTACTCCCACTGGGAGTGACTGGACAGTCGACCAGAACAATGGAAAGGAACGAATTAGGAATATATTGCTTCCTTGGTTCTAAATTGCACGAACTCCTATGTGATTTATGGGGACTAGGCCTCCACATGATCATATTAGAAAGCCTTTTAACTTCCATTTTTTACAAAAACAAACAAACGCTTTTGGAAAATACACATCAAGAAGCTTACTTTCAGGCTGACAAGACAGGTCTACCAGTGGAAAGCTCGGTAGATAAATGGTAGTGTTAATAGGAGGTGAGCCAAAGTCTGTTAAGCAAAATCTTGCTTAAGGTTACAATTAAGTAAGACAATAATTATGGGTCACATAATAATTTTCAAGTAAGTTTCCATCTCCTGTAACGTTTTAACCAAGCCTTACTGCTCAACTATCACATGATGTTAATTTTTTCTTTCATCTCAAATTGCCGATTCTGACTGCTTGGGCATCATAACAGTTTTTGATTCTTGATCTGTGGGACTATCTTCAACTGTATCTTCAACTGGTACCTGTAGAAAGAATCAGGAGATAAAAACAACTTACAGCATCTGGCACCTTCCATTAGGATAGATCAACAACTGGCTCAGGAATACAAAATAGCTGACCAGACAGACTGGTTTCACACATTTCTCAATAGGATAATCATAAAAATATTCGTTACTTACAGCTTTAATATCACCGTTTGCAATTCCGACATTTATATTGTGTCTTCTGAGATCAGACTTGATTAATGCTGGAACAGAAAAACATCAGTGAGTTGATGTTACCAAAGAGCATATATAGATATACTTTTCTCTAAGCAGTATAGTATACTTTACTTTTTGATATTGTCAAATTGAGCACAGTGTGGTTACCATAATATTCAATAGCATTCCTGTAGCATGAAAAAATACTAGGGCCTCACAAAGCCATTAACTTAATTAGCAAGTCATTCATTAACGAACAAATACAGGATGCTAGGAAACAAAGATGAAAAGCATAATTCTTTCCATAGAGCACCCTCCCAGCTAGGGAAATATTGACATACAAACAATTATAACATTGTAGGATAACTGCAATAATGCAGATATGTACACGGTATAGTGGGAACATGGGAGAAGAAAATCCCACTTCAGTCCAGAGAAAAATCAGGGAAGCCTTGCCAGAGGAGACATATTTGAACTGAAACTTGAAAAATGAGTAGGAACTTGTCAAGCAGGTAAGAAGAGAGAGGAAGGCATACAAGGCAGGCAGTAAACAGGATATGCAAAGAATGTGAGACATGAATAGAATAGCCAAGAATTTGGCACCAGAGGGAGTTTGGGATCATTGGAGCGTCAAGGACAAGGGTGGGGAGGCAGGATGTGCGGTTTGGTTGGTAGGTGCCTACACTGTATAAGAGTTTACGCTGCCACCGGACTAGCGAAAAGGAATGCAGAGAGAAATTAACAGAGTGAGATAACAGTAGAAGCCAGCATGGGTGTGGAAACACAGCTGGACATTAAGCCTTGCCTCTAAATCCACTTTTATGCTTATGCGCCAGGACAAACGACAGATTAAAGTCCTTTTACATGCTCCTTCTCTAAGGGTTGGGCGCTGGTGTCGTCGCTGCCCGTGTCTATTCTGATCATACCTAAGAAGTGTGAGAACTGGCTAACCATCCCTGTGCTGCTTCCACCGCCACATGTTACAGGAACAGCTGAGGTGACTGGGCACATCCTGGGTGCCAGACGCCATGCTAGGAGCTGTTCCTGCACCGCTTCAGTGGATCCTCATAGCAGCCCTCTGTGGCAGGCTGTTTCGTACCCTATCACATGAATGAGAAAAGGAGGATATGGGAGTTTAAGTAATTTATCTAAAGCCACACAGCTAGTGAGCAGCGGAGTCAGAGCTTGAGTCCAGTCTGCTGACTCCAGATCTTTACCGCCTCTTGATACGCTGGCTTTGGTTTTTATGCATAGTAATGGAATTGAAATTAAAATGTGAAAAATGGGGCGCCTGGGTGGCTTAGTCGGTTAAGCGTCCGACTTTCGCTTAGGTCATGATCTCACGGTTCGTGGGTTCGAGCCGTCGGGCTCTGTGCTGACTGCCAGCTCAGAGCCTGGAGCCTGTTTCAGAATCTGTCACTCCCTCTCTCTCTGACCCTCCCCTGCTCACGCTGTCTCTCTCTCTCTCCTAGGAATAAATAAAACATTAAAAAAATTTATAAAATGTGAAAAATGAATTACTAGATTCATATCCTCGGGGGAAAAAAACAAGTAATATCCTGCTTTTTATTTCTTTTTTCCCCTTGAGTTCTGTGAAGCCACTGAAAATCAATATACTTGAAAATTAAATATAAAGACAATACAACACAAGTGTTTTTGCCAGAAAATACCCTCATTTACCTGTTAAAATAATTCCTAGCAACATCCAAACACAGAGGAAAATGTTTCCTGCCTTAGGACCATAGTCTGTTGTGAGTTTTCCTTGAGCCAATGTGAACAAAATTCCAAATATCTAAGATAAAATAGGAGAAGTAATTGTTGATGAATTTGCTTCTTTGAAATAAGTATAATGTATTCCCAAGAATTTTTCCTATTTTATTCATATGATTTGGAAAGGCAGAATGTTTAAACTTCTTACTCACTAGAATAGTCAGTAAATTTGGGTGCCTGAGTGGCTCAGTTGGTTGGGCGACTGACTTTGGGTCAGGTCATGACCTCATGGTTCATGAGTTTGAGCCCCGCATCAGGTTCTGTGCTGACAGTTCAGAGCCTGGAGCCTGCTTTGGATTCTGTGTCTCTGTTTGTCTCTGCCCCTCCCCCACTCATGCTCTGTCTCTCTCTGTCTCTCTTTCTCTCAAAAATAAGTAAACATTAAAAAAAAATTGGAATAGTCAGTAAACTAATCACCTCAGATTTAAGAGAGGTCAGGGGTTTACCTGTGCAGCAGCATTAATAAGACCAGATGAGGTGCCTTCAGATTCAGGGTAAGTGATTTCAACAGCAAATTCAAAACCCAATGGGAGGTAACCAGTCATGAAGAAACTACAAAAATAAATCCAGAATTATAGAAACAGTTAACTGAAGGACAGTAGCATATACTGAGGCAATCATTCTGCTTCTCAGGCCTATTCTAATGATCAAATAACTGAAGATTTTGAATGTGATGTGTGAAAGTAAGGCCCTATCATTATTCACCAATCAGGCCAAGGACAGAAGAACTGAGAAGCAAAGCAGTTCCTAAGTTTTCCTTTTTCTGAGACAAATTGCCTCTAATTTGTTAAGTCAGTTGTTTTTCAAACTAAATAAAGTTACCTGGACTAAGTAAGGCTTATCCATTTTTCACCTGTCATATATGCTAAAAAACATTTTTAAACTTTTTTATTCTAAAGAATTACACATTTATATGCACAACACAGATTCCTTAAGGTATAAAATATTTTAAGGACATTTGGATGAACAAAAAATTTAAAACCATAGTACTAATATTTCATAATTATAACAGTATACTATCATTCCTCCTAAACACATTTAATGCTTACCCAAGCACCCCGCCAGTAACAAACACAATGATGATGTATCCAAGGTCCAGTGTGAAAGTAAATATAACCATTCCAAGAAAAGACAAAATGTAAACTATCAGAGTAGTCTGTCTAAAACAAAAACAAAATTGTTAATATTTTGTTGGATTTTCCTAGGCATATAAAAATCGTGTCATTAACCATTGCTCTGTCCATACAGTAATAAATTCCCTGGTTTTCAAAATTAGGTTTCCCTTATATGGAAGATGTTTCCACCAAAGCATTGACTTTATTTATTTTTTTGTAATTTATTTATTTTTTAATTTGCATCCAAGTTAGCATAGAGTGCAACAATGATTTCAGGAGTAGATTCCTTCATGCCCCTTATCCATTTTAGCCCTCCTGCCTTCCACAACCCCTCCAGTAACCCTCTGTTTGTTCTCAATATTTAAGAGTCTCTTATGTTTTGTCCTGTCCCTGTTTTTGTATTATTTTTGTTTCCTTTCTCTTATGTTCATCTGCTTTTTATCTTAAAGTCCTCATATGAGTGAAGTCATATGATATTTATCTTTCTCTGACTGACTAATTTCGCTTAGCATGATACCCTCTAGTTCTATCCACATAGTTGTAAATGGCAAGATTTCATTCTTTGTGAGTAATACTCCACTGTATATATAAACCACATCTTCTTTATCCATTCATCCGTCAATGGACCTTTGGGCTCTTTCCATACTTTGACTATTGTTGACAGTGCAAAGCATTGACTTTAAAGCTTATGTTTATAAAGCGTGCATTTAAGATTCAACACAGCAATCGACAAAATTCACACCACATCCAATGTTCAGACAGGAAGGAATATTCATATGGATAAAATCATGTTTGTACCACCAAATGGGATAGTTCCGTAGCTGTATCTCAAGATTCAGTTCAAATTCTATCTCCTCCAAAACGCCTTTCCTAACCACTGCAGCTTACAACATTGTCTCTTCTTCCAAACTCCCTTATCATTTTAGTACCTACATAACTGTCACTGCCAGACATCTATTAGACTTATGACATCTATTTTAGTCTGTTATATTATTATTTTTCATAAATTTCCCCCTTGTAGACTACACGTGTCTTAAGGACAGGGATCATATATTGCTTATCATAATTCCTAGACAAATTATGCCCACAACAGAAGTTTCGTGAATGAATGGCAGTTACTCCGAGAACAAAGTCAGGGCAACAAAGAACACATTTCTATGCCTATCAAATTTTCTAACTGTAAATTTACATGTAAGGAAATTGTAAAGCGGGCCAAATCCTTCACTGTGAGCTAACATTTCATAATAATGAAGCCACAGCAAGTGCTGTCTTAACTTATGGGAGAACTATCTTGGAGAATTTCAACATTGGAGGTCTTTGGAAGGGCTTACATAATGGTATCAAACAGATCTTGGGCCTTGAAAGGTACAAAAGATACATAGGTTACAGTTCCATATTTCATTCATTTTATTTCATTCCATTCACTTATGCATAATTACATTCATTCATTTCTCCCAAGCAGATGGGAAGTTTCTGCCTGTTAAAAAATGTAGCTATTGGGGTACCTGGATGGCTCAGTCGGTTAAGTGTCCAAATTAGGCTCAGGTCATGATCTCACAGTCTGCGAGTTCGAGCCCTGCATCAGGCTCTGTGCTGACAGCTAGAGCCTAGAGCCTGCTGAATTCTGTTTCTCCCTCTCTCTCTCTGCCCCTCCCCCACTCACACTCCATCTCTGTCTCAAACATAAACAAACATTTTTTTTTTTTAAATGTAGCTATTGTTGGCCTAGGTGCCCAAGATGGAAGGCTAGGAAGACCCTAAACTCATGTCCTCCCATAGACACGTAGAATCTACACATAGAGCAGTTCCTCCTAGAGAAGGGCTGAGTGAACAGTTCCTGCATTGTCAAATATAGAGAGGCTATGTAGAGAACAGCAGGAGAGAGAGACAGAGAGACAGGGTAACAACAGGAATACCACTGTAGACCCTGTGACTCGCAGTAGGAGAGATATCACTGAACTGACCCCATGCAGATTCACCTGCCCTGGGGTAGAGCAAAATACAAAAACAAAACAGTAGTTTAAAGGGCAACTAGACTAAGAGTGAAGGAAATCCATTTATGAACCCTAGAGCATCTGCCAAACAATGGGGAAACTGCTGGAACTCACTTCGGGTTTGGAGATGTCAGTGGGCACCACTGTTTACATTCCTCCTCCCCCTTGAGAGCACAGATGAGAACAGAGTCCAGGCCAATAGCATAAACCAGCTCCATCTGTCCCGCAAGGGTAGCCCTCCCAGACTGTATCTGCTCCAGATCTACTTGTCCCGCCAGGGTGGCCTTTGGCATGGAGCACCCCAGGATCTCTGGCCTGGACCAAATCCAGCTCCAGCTAATCAGCCAAAGCAGCCCAGGCACCCACAATCTACACAGGGGATGTTACTACATAAGGTCACTCCTTCAAGACCAGGAGAGGTAGCTCTTCCACCTAACTCACAGAAACAAACACAGGTCAGACAAAATGAGGGAGAGGAATATGTCTCAAAGAAAAGCATAAAAGAAAATCTCAGAAAAAGAACTAAACAAAATAAGTAAGTAATGTACCTGACAGAGTTCAAAGTAATGGTGATACAGATAATCACTGGACTTGAGAGAAGAGTGGACAAACTCACTGAGAACTTCAAAAACGAGGCACAAAATATAAAAAGAACCAACCAGAGGTAAAGAATATAATGACTGAAATGAAAAACAAAACATAGGGAATCAATAGCAGATTAGAGGATGTAGAAGAATGAATCAGCGATCTGGAAGACACTCACACTGAATGACAAAAAGGAAAAAAGAGTTTTTAAAAATAAGGAGCTTAAGTGGCCTCTGGGACAACATCAAGCATACTAACATTTGCATTAGAGGGGTCCCAGAAAGAGAAAAGAGCAGAAAACTTATTTGAAGAAATAATAGCTGAAAACTTCCATAAAACAGACATCCAATTCCAGGAAGCAAAGAGAGCCCCAAAGATGAACCCAAGGAGGACCACACCAAGACATTTAATAATTAAAATGTCAAAAAGTTAAAGAATCTTAAAGGCATCAACAGAAAAGTAAATACTTATGTCATGGGGAACTCCATAAGGCTATCAGCTATTTTTCAGCAAAAACTTTGCAGGGCAGAGAGGCACGGTAGGATATATTCAAAATGCTGAACGGAAAAAGCCCACAATGAAGAATACTCTACCTGGCAAGGCTATCATTCAGAATTCAAGGAGAGATAGTTTCCAAGACAAATAAAAGCTAAAGGAGTTCATCACCACTAAACCAGTCTTATAAGAAATGTTAAAGGGACTTTTTTTTTAGATTTTTTAAAAGTTTATTTATTTATTTTGTGGAGGCAATGGAGCAGAGACAGAGAAAGGCAGAATCTCAAGCAGGCTCTGTGCTGTCAGCATGAAGCCCAATGCAGGGCTTGAACCCACAGGCTGTGAGAGCATGACCTGAGCCAAAATCAAGAGTCAGGCATTTAACCAACTGAGCCACCCAGGCACCCCAAAGGGACTTTTTTAAGCAGAAAAAAAAGAGGCCATAACTAGAAGCAAGATAACCATGAAAAGAAAAAATTTCATTAGTAAAGGAAAACATATAGTAAAGGTAGTAGATTAATAATCACTTACAAAGCTACTGTAAAGATTAAAAGACAAAAGTAGCAAAATCAATTATATCTATAAAAACTAGTTGAGGGATACAAACATTAAAAGATGCAAAACATGACATTATATACCTAAAACGTGGAGGGGGGAGTAAAAAAATAGTGCATTCAAAATGTGTTTCAACGTAAGCAACCATGGTATATGAATCTCATGGTAACCACAAACCCAAAACCTATAACACATATACAAAAAATAAAGAGAAAGAAATCCAAGCATAACACTAAAGAAAGTCATCAAATCACAAGGGAAGAGAGCAAGAAAGGAACAGAAAAGAACTATAAAAACAATCATAAAACAATTAACAAAATGGCAGTAAGTACATACTCATCAATAATTTAAATATCTTTTCTGTGAGTGACATCTGGGTGGCTCAGTTGGTAAAGCGTCTGACTTTGGCTTAGGTCATTATCTCACAGCCCGTGAGTTTGAGCCCTGCTCTGTGCTGACAGCTCAGAGGCTGGAGCCTGCTTCAGATTCTGTGTCTCCCTCTCTCTCTGCCTCTCCCCTGCTTGTGCGCTCTCACGTGCACGCTCTCTCTCTCTGGCTCTTTCTCTCAGAAATAAACATTTAAAAAGTTAAAAAAAAATCTTTTTTTTAAATGTTTTATTTTATTCTTGAGAGACAGAGACAGAGCCTGAGTGGAGGAGGGGCTGAGAGGGAGACACAGAATCTGAAGCAGGCTCCAGACTCTGAGCTGCCGGCACAGAGCACATGAGGCCCGAACCCACAAACCACAAGATCACAACCTGAGTCGAAGTCAATATCCAACCAACTGAGCCACCCAGGTATTCTGCATCAATAATTACTTTATTTTATTAAAAAAAATTTTTTTTGTAAATGTTTTATTTATTTCTAGGAGAGAGAGAGAGAGAGACAGCGTGAGCAGGGGAGGGTCAGAGAGAGAGGGAGTCACAGACTCTGAAACAGGCTCCAGGCTCTGAGCTGGCAGTCAGCACAGAGCCCGACGCGGGGCTCGAACCCACGAACCGCAAGATCATGACCTAAGCGAAAGTTGGACGCTTAACCGACTGAGCCACCCAGGCGCCCCAACAGTAGGGAACTTTAACATACCTTCCCTCCCACTTACATTAATGGATAAATCACTCACACAGAAACTTAATAAGTAAGCAATGGCTTAGAACAATCCATTAAACCAGATTAACTTAACGTCCATACAAAGCATGCCATCCAAAAACAGTAGAATACACATTCTTTTCAAGTACACATGCAAAATTCTCTAAAATGTATCACATGTTAGACCACGAAACAAGTTTCAATAAATTCAAGAAGACTGAAATCATATCAAGTATCTTTTCTGACCACAATGGTATGAAACCAGAAATCAAGAATGGATAAAAAAAATCACAAGGATGCTTGGGTGGTTCAGTCATTTAAGTGTCCAAC